TTCTACATTTAGGCAGTACGATGCATAAATGTGCATTGCTATATAAATGACCTGAATTGAAAACCATTAAAAACAATGCAAGCACTGTGGGTGAAACAGCTCCTTCAAAGCTTTTACATCAAAGTTTCAGTGACTGAACACAGGCACACGTCCTCATCCCGGTCAATGCCTGTTCTGTTCCTCTGCTTCCTTCGCTGATGTAATTTGCTGGACCTAAACAAGTTCTGTTTACATCACATGTCCATCAAATGCATCCGCCTGCTGCCTGACGCAGGGCATCGTTTCACAGGCAGAGATGCTGCTGCAGAAGCTGCTGCAGAGTTGCAGGTTAGAGGCATTAAACAGCTTGGCAGGACAGTTTTCAGGAGGTTTAGAGCTGCAGGACATTTTGGCACTTACTCATGCTGCTACAGAACGTAGGCTGCTGCACACACAGAGCTGAACGAGCTGCAAGTGACTCTCACTTTCAGAGCTCAGCAGACCTTTTCATCTCAACGCAGCATGAAGCGTGATTATGAACTTCAGAGCATAAAGCTTACTTAAGGAACCCAGCATGACAGATGTGTATTTACTTTAATCTTTAGACAGAGATGGGAAAAGTGAGCCATCTGCGACAACAGAAAAATCAATTATTTGGGTTTCCTACACATTTTCAGGCTCAAAATTCCAAACATATCCAAATTCAAAGTTGTTAATCACATATATATATATATATATATATATATATATATATATATATATATATATATATATATATATATATATATATATATATATATATACACACACTGTATTCTAGATATTTGGGCACAAGACATTTACCTTTTGGAGTTGATTAACTTTATATTCCACAAATTTCAGATTCTTTATAGCACATGTTATGTTTGTAAATATTAATAAAGTAGATGTTTTCTGCTTTTTTTTTTTTTTTTGGAATTTGAAAAAATCCCGAATAAAAAACTAAAATTTAGGTTAAATCTTTGGACTTAAGAGGAAAAATATGGTAAAAGAGCCAATTTCAGCATTAATGTGATTTTGTTTAATTTCCCTTTTGGGCAAATAAAGTTGTTTTTTTTTTTCAGTTTGTCAATAACCAAAACATATTAATGAGTTTGAGAAGTTGAGATGAGGCAAAGCGTCAATAAATGATGTCATTTAAATGACTTTAAACAGCCTGATGTTTTTTTATTAATTCAGATTTTAACTTTTAGATATTAAAATAAGAGATAAAGCCTGAGAAGTCAAAGATTTTGACCAAATTTAACCTAACTAGATATAAAAAGTTATTTTTAAAAATATCAGGCATCTTGATCATTCTGAGCTGCATTCCTGCACCCTGCCTCTGACTATATAGACTGAGCTGTAGATGCCAGGCTAAAAAAAAAAAGCTAAACAACTTGAGGCTCAAAGTCTTGGGTTTGCAAATTCCAAGCATTTTTCACTCTGCTTGAGCCACCTGGATTTGCACGGGGATACAACAGGGCAGAGGTGGGATTTCATGCAAGAAGTGGAACATAAACCAGTTTGTTGCTCATCACTGCATCAGACTTTAAAAAAAAGTTTGAGGGAAAAGTATGTGGCTCTGAGAACAGATGACCCAGACATGGCCTGATGGCGCTCTGCTGCAGCCGACACAGTTTTCAGGCAGAGGACCTAAGGTCAAGAAAGAAAGTGAAGCAGCAAACCAGAGGAGCTGGAAAAGAGGGGTGGGGTCTGCTTTTCTCCTTCTTCTTCTCCTCTAGTGAAAAGCCATTTCACAGCCGGCTGCTGCCATAACAACCAGCTACAGACCAGTGGAGGTGGTGGGGCACGTCACCAAGTTTCTCTTTTGGCTCCAGGACACCGGGCACTGGGGGACCATTCAAAGTCCAAAAAACTGAGGGGAAAAAGAGGGGACGGTGGTGGAAACGGTTCCCCCGCAGAACACCATACAAACGGCTGTTTGTTTCTTTTATTGCTCTGGATTGTAAAGAGGCATTTTTCTACTGAAGGCCATGTGCTATGCTTATGCTTATTGCTTTGAAGCTGCACAGATGCTTCAATTAGAGCCTGGAAATACATATAATATTACTGCTGTAATATAAATCAGGATGCCATGCGTTAAATGCTCTCATCCTGCCAGCCTGGGTGCAGTGAAGGGATTCAGTTTGAGAGCAAGTGACGGGTTTTACTTCTGCACAAACCTGTCTGGTAATTTTCTCCAAATTCAGCTTAGGAAGCAGCAACCATACATTAAATTAACTGAAAATAGGGAGTGTGTTCTCACAAAATATGGGGAGAAAAAAGCAACAAAGCTTGAGAGCTAGTGTCATTCAGGGCCTACAGCTACAAAACAATCTATTCCACACACGTAGGAAATAAAGCAATCTACTGATTCAAACGTATCAGCAATCAATTAGTATGTTTCTATTCTTTAAAACTGAAGTACTTTTCTATGTCCTACTCACCGTCTAACATACAAATAATGATTAAATGATTCAGATAAATAATATCAATAAGAAGGAGGTTGCTCCAATTTACTTTGGATATCAGCGGTTAAGGATTGACTGGTTCACACAGGAATCTGGGATCGCCAATAAATGGAATCAATAAATGTGTAATTTCCAGAAAATATGCTCGACTAAAACAAATTATACATGAGATGGTGTTTTTGTAATTATCTCCACAATTCATGAAATTACTTGACTCCAAAGGAACGTAAACTGAATTAAATTCAAACATCATTAAAAAGTAAATATGTCACTACATCATTCAAACTGTGAACTTCTGTAGACTCTTTTCACTCAGACATAAATTTCATATTTTGTTCCACAGCACTCTCAAGGTTGCACTTTTTATTCCACTACACTTTTCCTTCCACTCAATTTTCCATTAGCATGGACAATGTATTCAGAACAACACACTTATTCTTTAGTAATGACTTTTTGTGTTTCTTATCCCTGTGTACGCCAAACAATTACATGACGAAATGAATTTTTGGTTTCCATTAACTGCAAGTCAAAGGAAACATCAAACATCACTCAATAATGATTTTTTTTTAAATAATATTTTAAATTGAATTAATGTAATATTCAAATTCATTGACATTCAGCTGTATATGGGTACAAAATAACTTGTTTATGTGTATGAAATAAAGGCAAAAATAGGCATCGAGAGTTAATGGAAGATGTTTGTTTACTGAGGTTCTGGAGCAAAACTTTGAAAACATACACTAAGATTTATTGTCCAAACTTTTGTCTACCAAGGAGTTTTGGAAATATTTTTGCAAAGCACGCATTGAGACTTGTGTCAGTGACACATCTAAAACCTAACTGCTCGTTTGCACCAAGTAGTTTAGTAAGTGGTTTGAGATTTTGCAACAGAAACACAAAAACAGCAGCGAAACAAAGTAAAGGTCTATGTTTTACATAAATGGTTTCTGCAAACTCAAATTTAAGACTTTAAGGCCATTACTGATGAAATTCAAGACCTGTGTGACAACAGCCAGAAGACAAATTTAATATTTTATATAGAAGTGCCAAGCCAGAATGCACATAGCATCGTACGGATTGTCAACAGAAGTGACTCAGAGGCAAAGTCCAAACTGGCGATAAATTTAGACTTACCAATCATAGATGGAAAAAGCTAGCTAGCAAAGGTTTGTTAGCAGCTAGTTAGCCGTAGCCCCAACCACCTTGAGTCACAAGGCAAAATAAATGCATCTGCATGTGACTCAAACAGAAAAGTCCTAACAGAAAAATAAACTACCTAGATCATACACGACTAAAATAGTCCTGCCACGACAAAACTTCAGACTTGTAATTAACATATTTAAGGACAAATTCCTAAATTTTAAGACATTTTAAGGATGCACATAAACCTGATATTCTGTTTTCAGATCCTTGATTGTGACTTCATCTCAAACCTTAACCCTAAAGAGAAGGTTGCTATTTTCAATTAAATCAACAAAAAAAAGTCTTCCTTAAAATAATTCCTTGAAAACAATGCCATTTCCTGAAGCATACATTTATTAAAATGAAAATCTCTTAACTAGAATAAGCTTCATTGATGCTTCAATGCTAAAGAAAGTCTCATCTAGCCTTCTCTAGCCTGATGTTACCATTATGCACCTCTTCTTGTGATTTCAGAGTGAAGGGATTTACAAATGCAAGCCACACTTTTCAGGGCATTATTTGTCAAACTTGTAACACATGAAGTCAACATCTTTATACCTTAAAATGAAACGCTACTTTGTTTTGCATTTTAGCAAATAAAATTCCAATAAAATGCATTTACGTTTATGGTTTTAGATAAAACGTGATAAAGTGAAAAGAGGTGCTTTGAAGAAAAAAAGGGAAAAAAGAGCAAGATGTCATGCAGGGCTTGCAGGATAACGGGCCCAGAAACGATCTCATCCTGCGGGCTGGAATGCAGTCCAAGTGCAAAACAACAGATTGTACTTCTGCACACACCTGCCTGGAAATTTACGCCCAAATATCCGCAAAAACAATGCTTTAGCGCATAAAACCACCTAGCAGAGGGTTGCAAACAGGCGAAAATGCTGCTGCAAGATGATAACGCGGTAGCAACAAAGCTTAACAGCAAGTGCCATTCAGGGTCTCAGTTACAACGTAACTGTGAACAGCTGAGCTCAGTTGTAGGCGGTAAAAATAAGAGCGAGAGAGAGAAAGTATCAAAACGCCGCAGTTAGTCTACAAAAAAATGACGGCGGCGTTTTCAAGTTGAAAACACCGGTCCCCATTGGAGCTGTGTACAACCTGCCTGTTCAATTTCTACAAGTCATCATCTGCCCGGCAGGAGCAGAAAACTAGGCCTGTAGCTATATTGAGCACCACCCTGCAGCCCAATTTCAGATTCCATTTAAATGCGACATGTGCTGTTTGTGTGCGGAGGAACATGGGTGCAGAGCGAAGCAACCCCCCCCCCAAAAAAAACAAAACAAAGGGGCTCAAATTTTTCTGAGGTTTTTTTTTTTTTTTTTTTTCTTCCAGTGTGCTTACCTGGAGATGTTCCTGAAACCGTATTGGTAAAATCTGAGCCATTTTCAGGTGATTTCTGCGCCTGAAGAGTCCGTGAAGAAGGAAAGGGGATGGGGGATAACCAGAGGAAAGAGGTGGCTGTCTTCTGTTTTGTGTCCCCCAAAAAACCAAAACGATGGGCGGTAGTGTAGCCTGGTTGGTATCACACGAATCCAGTGACTGCTCCCATTCAGGAGCCCCCCTACACCAGCGCTGAATCAAAAACTCCGCTCCTCCGCTAAGAAAAGTAGTCCGCTCTGCCTAGTAACTGAGCCAAACCTGCTCTCCGCGGTGCCTCGTAAGGAAACCAGAGTGTTCTAAAAATCTACACAGACTCTTTATAAGTCATGACTTTGCATGTGTTGGCGTGTTTTCCTTCCACATGATGACAGACGATTCATCCCGTTAAATGTGTGGATTGTACTCTTCCGCTGATACCCCTTCCCCCTCCCCATTTCACCAACTTCAAAATTAACAATTCAGTTCAGCTCCAGCTCTGTTTTGACTGGTTACCAACGAAAATATTTATGTTTCTGAAATGTATTTAAATCGGAGACTAATTTAACTATTTCACATTTTGTCATTTTACAACCACAAATTCAACATATACTATTGGATTTTTATGACAGACCAACACAAACTTGTTATGGGAATGTAAAAGGGTTTGTTTGTTTGTTTGTTTTGTTTTGTTTTGTTTTTTTAACAAATAAATATTTGCTCATGGCGACAGCATTTTGTAGTTCTTTTTGTTAAAAACTTTTTGGTTGAGGCATTCTTCTTTTAATAGTTAATTTGCATCTCAAAAGCTCAAATAATACCTGAATTAAGACCATAAATCCCAGGGGAGTTGAAAATGATGCTTCAACCTTCTATCAGTTATTATGGACAAGAATCATATCCCCAACTCCAACATCTCTCTGCCAGCCTCAAATATCTACTGAAAAAAACAGTTTTTAATTTTTCTGACAAGACTCCACAAGTTTTTTTTCACTTGTTTTGTTTTGTACCATATACTCTGACAATGTTTCCAAGCCCACAGCATCACAGAACCACCACGGCTCACAGCAGTGACCATGAGACTCTCCTTTAACATTAGGCTTCATTTACCTACAAACCCAAAGTTTCCCCTCATGGCTCCCTAACATCCAGTCAAATTGTTTCCAACAGTTCCAGCTGTTATATACTCTTAAAAATAACTAAATGCAGATACACGTAAGCTGTGGTTATCCACACACACATTTGTCCTGCTTGACTGGCATCTTCTATTTACTAACCCATAAAAGTTCCTAAAGAAATCAGTGTCTTTGTCATATTTACAGTAAAGCATATTCAAAGTCATGTACTTCTGTTTGCAACTGAAAGACACTTTGACCAACTATGACTAGTTGATAACATATTTAAATGTCAGATATTTTTGAATAAATGTTTTCAAATAAAAGTTTGAATGAAATTTGTTTGTTTTTTTATTGATGAGGAGTGCCAGAGGGGGGCGCTGTTTGTATGTGTAAAGATTTTACAGCCTTTAGGATTTTCTTCTAATATTGACACGTTACATTCATTTGTACCTGATTATGTTTTAGTTAAATGCTTGTTTGTTGCTTAACAAACATGAAATTAAACATTGTACACTGATAGATGAAAATGTATCTATAGAGACAGAAAACATTTCTAAATTTGCACATAAATGAAAATAATATATATTCTTCCTTTTGGTGCTTTGTTAACAGCCGTACTTCCAGAAAGAACATGGCTTGTTCCTTCTTTTGGTCCAATTCTCAACACAAAAATGAAAGAGTGTGTTAGACAAATAATAAAATTATCCCCAAGTCGCTGGGAAAACAAATCATACGGTTAGTTGTGGAAACTAAAAAGTGGTCTGTAGCGTGACAACAGAACATGGTTAGCTTTGGAAAAATTAACATTTTTGCAATAAAAAAGATTACAAAATCTCTGCAACGGGAGTAGAGCATAAGAAAAACAAAAAGAGCTGAAAATATTCAGTGCGAGTTGACCTTGCTGGGGTTGTCTTGAATTCCCCGTCAAAAACAGGAACATCTATAAATCTTTGCTGAGGTTCTCAGGACTTTGAATAGTTCAGGCTCAGATTATTATTAGTTCTCTTACTTGCCAACATACAGTAGCTCGCTTCAGGAAGTAATTCAGTTCTCCTTTGCACCTCTTATTAATGCAAATTTCACTAATACAGTAGAACCAGTGAAAAATCTTTTGCATTTTAGGCAGAACAGACGTTCTGTACAAGCAAAGCGATGTGTAAAATAAAAACGGCATTAGAAGAAGCTCTGAGTCTGATTTACATCTCAGGGTCTAATCTGTTTGCAGACAGCTCTAAGATTTACAAACTATTTTCCTAAAAGCAAATAGTCACACATTTGTTGATCTACCATTTGGTAGAAGATTTATGGTTTGATCACAGAGGAGATGTTTGACCCTGACAGGAAGCAGGTGGAGCCGCCAGCGTCTGGTTAGCAGCTGCTCCCACAGATCCTGGAGAGCTGCTGCTCTCATCAGAATACGGCGCCAGAGGATCAGTTCTTCCCAAAAAAACACCACAAAAACCCCCTATGATGACATTCAGACATACTAAAAGTCAGCGTTGGTAAATACAGACAAACCTGGATGAAATTACAACAAAATCAAAGCAAGTGACATTTTCTGGACTGTAAAACAGCCAACATGTTACACTAAAAACTGAAAGTATTTCAAAACAAACACTCTGCAGTGAACTTATGAGAAGGTGACAGAAAAAGATCTGAGCAAACAAATTTATGTAAATGAACAGAAGTGGAAAAATTGCAACGAATAGAGTTGAGACTTCAAGTGCGACAGCTGGATGCTTGATAAATATAAACTTACAGTTTTCATCTAGACATCTTCCTCAAAGAACAATAGTGAATAAAAAAAAATCTATTTTTTTACAATGACAGGTAAGATCAAGGTCTTTTTTCTATAAGATAAAGTTTCAGTTTCTTCCGTTTATCTCACACAACATGTAATAATTAGTGTCGTTTTAGAGCCGTACAGGCTGCGTTAGGTTTGCTGTGTGCTTGGCCTGGCTCTTGCTGTCAATCAGAAGTATTTGGTTGTTCTTGTGGTAAGAAATCATCTCGTCAAGACTGCTGAAGACCTACGAGAAAAGGGACGAAAACAGTATAAAAGTATGTTTAAAGTGCCTTCCTAAAGTATCTTTAATTTCACATTTTGTCACCTTTCACCCACAAAATGTGAGGAATTTAATGGGATTTTGATACAATTGAAGAGCTGCAAGTATTTCTTTGGTCTTTCCACAATGGCTCTTGATCACTTTCTCTAAAATTTTTCTAACTAATGATTTTATAAATACAACTGCAAATTCAGGTTGGCACTAAAAAGTACCAGTAAGATCCTGTTTTCTTACCACGTTACAAACTATTTGCTCTTTTAAAAAGTATAATTTTCCACAAATATCAACATGCCAGAGAGAAGATCTACCCCTATTTGTTAGCTTTGTTTTTCTTCATTTATGACCTAAAAAGAGAAGTAAAAAGTTTAGTTCTTCAAAAGTGACAACAAATTTCCTATTTCAAAAATCATAAGTTGTTTTTGTAGAAACATCATGTGACATTTTCTGATCTAAACCAGTTTATTTAGCTGGACTGAGAGCAAAAAATGGTTCTTTGAACTGTAAAGGTTGCAGACCAGTCATATAAAATCCACATAAGATTCATTTAAGTTTGTGGTTGTTGCATGATAAAATGTGGAAAGACTTTATCAGGCACTGTATGAACTTTTCCCTTCAGAATCCTGTTATCTTTCTCTTCTTTTATATTTAAATATGAGGATTTTCCTTCACCTCTTCATTCTTCTTGCCCTCCTTTCCAAGGGCGTAACCTTTTGACTCTTCAATAAAACGGATGGGGATGTTGTACACCTTCTGCTGGTAGAGGACAGCCAGGGTGTACGGCTGCTGGGGCCGCTTGTCTGAGCTGTATCGAATGAGAAAGGCTCCATCCTGCAACACATAACACAAACGTACATCTTTGAAAAGCAGAAGTGGAGCCTCCTGCACAACCAACAAGAATGCGACACATGGTTTCTGGATGGCAAGTCAACAACAAAGCACTTGTCTTTTAAAACCAGCTGACTAAACGTGCTGGAACTCAATTTGGGTTGCTAGGTGACAGGCTGGGCTCATCTTGGGTTGCTAGGTAACGACGCAGTGCCCCTTGGTTATAACTGAAAACCCCTTAAGCCCTAAGGGTGGAAAGGTAAATGTCCGCAGGCAAAAACATACCAAAATAAATCACTAATAGCCTCACAGTTATCAGATTAAAGTGCAAACTTTTGGTACTTCTGTAAAGGTAAGACATCAAAGAATGGTTTCCTGGTGTCAGTACTATTGTAGCTTTTACCCTGCCTGAATTAAATACAATAAATTTAGCATTTTTATAACCTCACCAAAATGTTGTTATAAAAATATATTGCAAAACATGACTAAAATATTATTTTTCACACAAAAAAGTAGTTTAGACGTTTAAATCTACATGTTGGGTAAAAGTTCACCAAATTTGGACTCAATCAGTTGAAAAATATAGCTTTTATAAATGTTTTACTGAGAAATGTCCCAGGTGGAGAGGTCATTTATCCAAAAATGTCTCCAAACTGTGCCAAATGTGTTTTTCACATCAATACTGGGAATTTCTTTAAATGAAATCGCTGATTACCATTGAATGACACTTAGTACATATAATATAACCATTGGTCATGACATTTACCCCATTTATATGCAAAATGTACCATTGTGCATAGTATAATATATATAATAACAATGAACTGATCGCTATTACTTTGACTCCAACTGATAAACTTTTATAGAAACGCAGTAAAACAGTAAAAACAAACTTTTTGAAGTATAGCTAACAAAGAATAATAGTAACTAAAAAAATTGAGTGGTTTACAAAGTAAAGAACAAATAAATATGAAATCCTTATTAGTAAAAAAACATATTTTCAGTAAAACATAAATCAATAAATACATTAATACATTAATTAATTAATTAATTAACTAATTAATTAATTAATTAATTAATTAATTAATTAATTAATTAATTAATTAATAAACCAAAACATCAAATTTTTTGTGTGAAGTTGCGGGGAAAAAACCGCAGGGTCGCAGCTACATATTATTCAGGTGGATGCGAACACAAAAATCGGCTTTTTTGGGGTTGTGCAAATATGGCTTCTTCTTCTTCTTTTGAAGAAATTTTACTTTCTCAAATCTTCCTGCACTTTCTGAGTATGATGTTTGGGGAAAGTATTCTTGGGCC